AAGCTAAAATATTTGCAGCAAAGACTCATCTCTCCTAATGCAGCTGTAAGTCGTTTAAGCAAATACTTACAACAACTGCAGACATTTTGTGGTGGACCGTTGTGTTGGTACATCTGACCTACTCCAATAGAAGATCTTGTTAGCCCTATCGTTTCAGTGTAAATTACTCAACCAGTCAAAGAACGTTTGACAATGGCAATGAAAAAGAAAATGTTAAAATATTCATTGACAATTTTAAAAAATATAATTATTTCCTAATTTATAGTCATAATTATAATTATTTGTCTAAAACTCATTTCATACACAGAATAATATATTTATTTTTATTTTGCCTGTCTATTTTTTTTGGGGGGGTAACTCATGTTTTTCATTTTCTCTCAATGGTTTAGGTGACAAAAAAGTTTGGCGTTCCTGGTTTGAAGCAAGCCATGGAGTGGTTTGGTTACTATGGCGGCAGGACAAGATCACCATTGATGCCATTAACAGAGACAGAAGTGGAGCAAGTCAGAAAAGACTTCCGAGACAGTGGTTACAAATGTTAACAAATTAATAGGCATTTCACAGATTTAGGAATGAGAGAATACACCTTGATGTGACTAATAAAGATTTAATTACTGTGTGCTTCCATTTCTAATATTGAATATTTAAGGTGCTACAAAATACCACAAATGCTGACAAATTCTTGATACAATGCTGAGTAATCTTTACATTAAAGAAAAACTGAATTTCCCAATAGTATTAAGCCCCCTCACTGGGAATCATTTTGAATGGTAATTTGGTGGAAATGCCCACAACTAATTCCAAATTCATATTCCAAACTACCCGGTACTGGTAATTTGGTTATCCTAAGGTAGGCTTTCAAATGACCATGAGTTTATTTTTCTGGCCTTATCACTTCCAATCTGGAGACATTATTGTGTTGATTGTGTACAAATAAAAGCAGCCTTATTCAGTTGTTGAATGACTGGATTATGTTATTATGAAATAGAATTACAACTGAAATAAAATAGACATCATTGTGTTTTTTTTATTGGCAAAGTGAAAATGAACAGTTGTATTTTATAGATTGAAATGTAAGTGTGTCACAAGAATTCATGAAGTTCATGTGGCAAGGGATATTTACCACAATTGCGATATTATAACTATGTGGTTGGCTTGATATGTTAATGCATCATAGAAATGTTTATTTATGTTTCATCGATTTTATTCACCCACATTGTAAAGTGTCAGGTCAGATGGCCAAGTGGTGAGGCATTTGAAATGCAAGACTTCATATTTTGCATGGGACATTGTCACCTAATGTGTACATATTTATCAATGTAAATCAAGAATCTGGATTTATTTAAATTTATTTCAAGCATTTTCAAGAAGCACATTCATCGCACCACGCCTTGTTTGATATGGGTCTCACCAAGGATTTGTAAGATAATACCAATGTACGGTGATGAATATACACGTGATGAATATCTTATTACATGTATGTGTCAATCAAATGCATTTCTAACCAATGGCATCACAGAACATAGTGGGCACCCAAGACGAACACTCATCAGTTCGTTCTTGGACTTTAACATTAGTATACCTTAGATGATTGTTTGTCAGGGGTACGTGATTTTGTGATAATTTTGCAATTCTATGACTACTCTTCAGTTTTTGTGTGATCTTCATCGCATATCACTCCACTTGCATTTCCTTATTTTGTAAATCCTTAGTTGCATGTACTGTAAATGCATTAATTAGTCACTTGGTTTTAATTTAGTTATTTTCACTGATAAGTAAAATCCACTAAATTAAATCTACATGAATATGTAAAATAACAATAAAACACATTATTTCCATTGACAAATTTGTGAAATTAAAACACAGCGAATATGCTCAAAACATCAAAATAGGGAAAATAAATGATTTTACAGTATACGTGTGTAGCACATGACTGTTTCACTTAATGTTTTGATTACCGTGTTTGCTCCATTGGAAGCAGACATAAACCCGGAATTGCATTTGTTGTATGCCGAATCATTGAAATGTGACTTAGTTTGGCTATAGACACACCTCTGTTATTTACTAATAGGACAAATACAGTAAAACTCAAATTACATCTCTTTCTTGAAAATTCTTACCAGGTTAAATTAAAATTATTTTTTTCATGAGATTTCTATATGATAATGTCTCAAAGTTTTTGATGTATCTTGTATTCCAAAATAATATATGTATTTGTACACTTTATCGTAAATTGTATTATAACAAATAAAAAAATTAATCTATTCATAGAATTATGCAGAATGCCATTTGCCTTGTTCTGTTTTGTTCTCGTTCGGCAGCCAGTCGTATTTTTTCCTGTAACCGACGCCGTCTTCTCTCCAATTTGGCTTGTTTCAATTCTTCAAGCTCATTCTGTCTGTCTATGCAAGCCATCGCAAACATTTTAAATTCTTTGTAGTCTAGCTCCTAATGATAAAATACAAAGTAGCAAGCTAGAGATGTGAATCTACAGTGCACACATATGATGAGAATTGAACTACTAACGTTTATTTACATGTATTATAAATGCAGAGGTGAGCATAAAATTTATGAATAAAAATGTTTTCTTAGAATACCCCAGTCTTGAAAAGGAGGCAATTCATTCAAGTTTGACCATGGGGGATTTTTTGTTACTTTAAATGGACCCTTCCTCAAAATACTCTCCTTAATTTGAAATTATTATTCCTGTATTGTTTTTCTTGGAATACCAATTTGAATTTTGCTTCTACAAAACCTCCATCACTCCTGTGTCCGTGGCGTCGCCCCTCAAAAAAATGTTCTGGTGGCATCGCCCCTCCAAAAGCATCTGAAACCCTTCGTGTAATCAAAATTTGCCCCTCAAAATGCAGGAAATAGCATTTCAACGGGTCTAGATTTCCAATTTTTTAAGGGGAGCATGCCCCCGAACCTCCTAGTAAGGTCGCAAGGTGCACAGTTGGTGAGTAGATTTTGCCCCCCCCCCCCCTCCATGTAAAATTTCATGCCTCTGTGTGTCGACTAACATATTCAAATATTTGCTACTCAAAAAAAGATTTTCTTTTTGGGTTTATGCACCCTGTGGGGATGGCACTTTAGAAACTCAAGGGTAGAAAAACTGCAAAAAAAATGTTTTCTTCACTTAGTTTTTTCAATTTCAATTTGTTTTATTTTTTTTCCCCCTAAGATTTTCACTTATTTTTCAAATAACAGATTTTAATGAAACTTGGTACATAGATCCTCTGGGACAATGCACAAACCTGATTTTTTTTATTGAAATCCATGTATATTAATCATGGGATTTGCATATAAATATATAAATGAGCCAATTTAGCTTTTCCATCAATATCTCAAACACTCATCAGTTTTTTAGTTTAGAATTAAATTATGTGCTTACTAGTTACCTAATTTGCATAAATTAAAACATTTATAGGTATTCCACAGATATCTTGAGAACCACTTATCAAATTTCAATGAAACTTGGTACAAAGGTGCTTCTGGATAATCCACAGATCTGTTTACTTCAGGGTTAAAATCCCCATTAATATTAATATCCCACCTTATATAAATGCGTTCATGTGACCTCATTAATAAGCATAAGTGTAATATCTCAAGCACTGTTGCAGATAAGGACATGCAACTAGTGATTTATTGGAGGCATTTGACTAGAGATATGACTAACACATCAAATGCCAATATATGGTCACTTGACCAGCAATGTATCAAGCACTGCTGCTGATGACATGCAACCAGTGCTACAACAAAGGCATTTGACAAGATATATGACTAACGTACCACATGCCCATATATGGTCATGTGACCTCATTAATATGCATAACTGCAATATCTCAAATTAAGGCATGTCTGTGGTCAAAGATACTCCAATGATTTTGCATGATGAAATAGATATATTTGCTTTATGTGTATTGGAGATGTGCTTCTAATATAGTAAATACAGTATTCGTTATTTGTACTTTATGTCTCCAATACCCTCAGCACACAGGAGTTCTTTCCCTGCAGGACTTTTTTTTTCCATGATTTTTTTACTTTGCAATTTTTTTTTCCAATTATGTCCTCTCAGACTTTCTAATGGTCAGCTCCTAATACAAATATCTCCCTCTGCTTGTGCAATAGGTTTATTTCTTACCTGGTCACCTGAAACATCAAAATCACTGAATATCTGATTAACAGCAGTCCCATAAAAGTTGAATAAAAATCCAAATGACTCAAATTCGACAGCCGAGACGCTCTGACTTCCATCCTCATCCAGAAGTTCAAATACAGTCCTGGAGTGCCGGTAAATAAACTGTTTTTCTTCGCTGTCCTGTAAAATCAACATCATGTATCACTTAGACTGGCCCTGTTCTGATAATTCTTTTTTGGAAGAGTTTGTAGAATAGTTCGCGTTGAACCGTAATATCGCAACAACCAAGATTTTAATTTTTTTTTATAAAATTGCCTGTAAAACGCCATCTACAGTCAAGATCGCTAAATGTATTTGTTTGTTATGAAGTAGTTCAGTCATCGTTCAGTGCATTTGCTTTACTTGTTCAGAATTAAAGAACTGTGAACCATTTTATCAAAGCTTACTTTGTACATATTTCTGATAATTGATAAAATCGGAAGCAAGTTCTCGGGAGAATTGTCACACAACTGCACTGCACTTGGCTACAAATGATTTTCAGGAATGTTATATATGGATAAATATTGTAAATGGTAAAGAACAATGTTGACTCTAATACATTGCTAGCATATCTAGAACATAATAAAGCATATTAACCTTTTCACCACTCGTTCCCTTTTCTCATAAAAAGTTCACAAAATATTCCCGTTTATAGCTGAGTGTGCACTTCCCCTCAGAAGATAGGGACAAAACTGCAAATAGACTCAAAATGTGTTTGTTTGCTCCAAATTAGGATTCATTTTCGGAATTGTTGAAGATTATATAAGAAAAAGGTGCAGACAAATTTTGCAGAGAAAGTCTGGTGATGAAGAAATTAAATCAGTATTTACAGTTGAATATTGATAAGCCGTTTCATGACCTTTGTCGTCTGGTGTGGGGAAAACGTATGCCAGTGCATTGGTAATACCTTTTACAGACCTATAGTTGGTGTTGTTGACTCGAGAATAAATCGATCTCAAATCCAGTTTCAAGAATAGTACAAAATCGTTTCCTGCGACAGTATACAACCTCAGGATGATTTACCGACTAATCGTTACACCTTGAAATTGAACTCGTCTTTTGGGCAGTTTGACTCGTCAGTTTGGGCATGAAGGTAAAAGAGACTTTTATCTCCATGGTATGGGCAAAGACTATGGAGAAGATATAGTCTTTGGTTTGGGTTCACGAGTTTCGTTAAAATGTGTTGATTTAAAAGATGTATATACAGGATAGGGGAACAAGCGGTAGCTGGACGTTTCGGCTCGGTAAATAATAAGAATTACAGCCTACTCCCCTGACCTATTGGAAGCACACATTGGCGGATGCAGAGGGGCCAGGGGAGCCATCCCCCCACCCACGCATGAAAATGCATCTGGATAAGCGAAGCTTGGGGACCCCCCCCCCCCCAATACATTTTGCTGGAAGCACATTAAATATATGTCGAACTCACCTGAATAGATATCAAAATGCAGATCAGAAGATAAAATTCGTCAAAATCAATCTGGCCCGATCCGTCAACGTCTAACATATCAAACACTTTGTAAATATTATTCTTGCTAAGATTCGTCTGTAGCCGCATAAATGCATAGAATTGTATATCTATATGGAAATTAACAATACGACAATATTCTATCAAAATCATGCAAGGGACTAGTGTTGGACTTCGTTAATACATTTTTGATGTGCTCCCGTTCAATCGTTTTTTTTTTTTTTTTTTTTGCTACAGTACACTCGGTGGCAAACTGACAATACCAAATAATGATCCCACCAATATTGCTCAAATTAGGCGAGCTGTCAAATATGTTACTTAGATGTAACAATTGTTTGAACACTTATATATAACGCCGCAGACACCAAAAGCGCGAGATATACGATGATATGTACGTGGATATACCCGACAAGTTACACTTTCCCCGTCATGTGCCCCCTGAGATGTCGGAGAGTTACATGTATCGTTTACCGACACAGTTTGCACTATTCACTCGGCGTAATCCGCTCACCTACACGAATACCCATAGGCAGTTGTATAGACCACCGTCCCTCAACACCGTGTTGAGGGACGGTGTATAGACACACTTTTTATGTAACTATCTGACTGCACATTGCGTTTGTCTTCCCAGATTTAGCTAGAGCATGGAACTGAGAAGGGAGCGCCGCGGACATTATTATTATAACTGTATATTGACATACAACTGATCCTCGAATATAAGACTTAGGAACTTCATAACAAAGGAATGGCGTAAACACTTCACAATTGCAATGAATTAGAATTCTTCGCCGACTAAACTAATACATGTATAAATGATTTTATGATTATGTTTTCGCATGCAACAAATAAATTATATGGAGAGGAAAAGTCGAACCTCACCGTTGATGGCGTTTTCATCGTGAATATCCAAGAGTTTGAAATATTCCAGAACTAAAGCGACGTTTTTACAAGTGAGCAAACTATAACTCTTGTGCAAATGCAGATATTTTAGAAAGGACGATCTCACTTTCATGATCTTCTAAATATGTGACTATTTCTTCACTGAATACTCTTCGTACGACGGATTTCAACTGGATTCGACCGCGCTCGGCCCAGAAGTGTGAGCGCGACATTCTATTTCGTGACGTCAGATTTAATGTTGGAACACATTTTCTAGGAACGTTTCAGTCCCGTCTATCAATAGAAATATGTGATTGATATTTGTTTTCATTCAATTAAGATCGATTGATTCATTCAACTTCGTGTACACTATGTAGCCAGTCCGGGCCACTGTTCCGAATAGTCGTCGCTGGGGACTACAGTCAGACTATACTGCGTGTTCTAAAGATAAAACAAATCATCTTTGAATTGAGATTTGAATTGAAGTACCCATGAGAAATTACCGAAAAAGAAGCGAAATCGGCAGATTTAAATAAAGGAGGTTCCACTATTTACATGTATTGCTATTTTTTGTTGCTATTTTACGATAACCCTTGACCTGCCAAGTGGCGATGCTATTTGTTTGTAATATGTATGCAAAATCATGCAACTAAAATGTATAAATCCACTGTAACTGCTTATGTTGGCGAATTTTAAGAATATTAATTCAGATAAAGAGTAATCATTTTGTAAAAGCCAAAGAAAAGCTACATTTTTAATAAATGAATATTCAGGTTTGCTGTGAATAATATCAAACAACCAGAAGAACAAAACTGTAGCTGAGAACGGTGCATTGCCATCTTTTATGGTAGCTATTCGCTGTGAATATCGCGAATGTCGTAGAAATTTTATCTAATCTCGTAAAATTATTATTTCGCAAAAACTTACAGCCGCGGTGAGTTCCGTAAACTATTTTCATTATTCTTTTCTTATCAACTGTTTACTTCTACCCAGTAAGTTCATATTATAAATAGACATTTCATTCAATCTATTGGCTGATATATTTGTACAATCGGTGTGCGTCACCAACCTTGAGCTGGGCAATCATAGCGGACTGATAACGTACAGAGACTGATATGTGAAACAAACAGTGCTGAAGACTGGCCCCTTGTGGTTTTGTTTCGTATTTATCAATGATGTGTATGTTTATCTGGGACAAGCACTACCACCACCACCAACAACAACAACAACAACAACAACAACAACAAAGTACGTGTTATAAGTGAAAAATTAACTTAGTAAAGGCGATTAAGATGTGGTGGTGTTAGCCTGGTTTCCTTACTTCCTTCGGCTCATTCCAAGACCGAAGAATAGAAAGGTGCTAGAAACTTTCTGTACATGTGGATACACATGAATGAATGGACTTGGGAATCACTTTAAAAATGAACATTTAATTCGAAAAAAGTTTGGTCATCGTGAAATGGTGGCGTGGCGAAACAGGATGACCATGGTATGACAGACTTGCGTGACTATAATACCTCCCATGGCGTAATAATCCGTTCCACATGTAATGTAAGTGCTTGTGACATTGAAGCACACTTTTGGGAAGATATACAAATACACTGCTGTGACACGTTCTATACATGTACTGTATTAGGAGTGTAACAAACTTACCAAAGAAAATAGTTTTCTCTTATAGAAGAAATGACAGCAATGCGGTGTAGGGTGAAATTCTATGGAAAGCGAAGAATGACATTAATAAATGCCTGAACTGGCCAATAACGTACGCAATTATTCAATATAATTGATATTCAAGATATTCAATTCCAGTGTTAATGTAATATAACTATAACGGCGGAATCGGCATCATAAGTTCAAGTTTGCAGGTATACTCACAAACAAATTCTGGCGCCGGAAACGAATTATCGCCGAAAGAAAATAACAATCTCATTTATTCATTCATTTATTTTTCTACTGTGGCGAAAATGCATTTATGTTTTCTTTTTAATGGCAATAATTAATTTGTCCGCGTGTTCATTGTAAATGTATTCATGGTAAACGTCCATGTGGTCGATATACTTGTCCGTAGTTCACTGTATAACCATATTTAATTTTTCAAAACATGTGCACCTTATTTTTGTTTATTTATACTTATCTGACATGAATGGAGATTCTAATATAAGCTCACCTGTACACAATGAATAAATCGTACTCATTATAAGAATGCCACATGTCCGGTGGTCACAGATAAACTGGGAAAACTTTTTTCTTTTTTCTTTTTTTTTTTACTTGTCTGGGTTCTTTCAGTTACGTACAATTGCTATTATATTTCTACCCGTATCATATCTCCACCGTCCCATTGGCCTATTGTTATAAGCCAAAGGATGTCTGTTGTTTTCATATGCAAATTTCCCCTTATGTTTAAACTTTTTCTATGTTTTGTTTTTTTCCTAAAGAGCCATTGTCTGTAATCGGATCCATAGTTGCCAGCCGCTGAACGACATGGTATACATCTGTTTACGTTTCATTAAAAATGTATCGTTCCCAACCCATACCTATTTTATTTACTGTAGTAGTCATCTGAATGATCCTTATTTAGAAAATAACATACATTCTCAGTAGAAAAAATAAGCTTTGTATTTTCACTTGAATGTGATTTTGAAACCTTTACAAAGTGTGGCTGGGATACACTCATATGTTAATTAACTATCACTAAGGGTTACGGACCTGATCTCCCATCATCCACCGCGCGGTATTGTTCTCACTCGTACTCCGGCAACGTTGCGTTGTACATTTCAGAAAAGATGTGTTAACCAGTGTTAACTTTGCCCCTTTCTCACCCTTTTTTCGGTCAATTTTTCACAGTAATTTGTTTTAAATTTGGTACATCGTTATCATGGCAAGTGCTACTAGTTCGAAGGGCGAATTCCTGGTCGGGGGGAAGTACAGACTTGTCAGAAAAATCGGCAGCGGTTCGTTCGGTGATATTTATTTGGGCGTCAACATAACAAATGGCGAGGTAAGTTAGTCACCACTATGCCTCCGATTTTGTTGCCATATTTTTAAACATAAGCGTTATTCATGTGATATTCATTTGCTCCGATTACAGGAGGTAGCTGTCAAACTAGAATCACACAAAGCTAGGCATCCACAGTTACTCTACGAAAGCAAATTATATAAAATTTTACAAGGTGGTGTTGGGATTCCCCATATTCGGTAAGTCCCTCGATCGCTTTATGTTGTTCACAGGTCAAGCACATTTTTAATGTAACTGCAGTGACACAAATAAAAAAAAACTCCTTTCAGCCACGAAATGACAACTGTCGAATTATGTAAAATTAACATCATCCAATTGCTTGTCAAAAAATTGTGCGTTTCTGGAAGAATTTGTTACATACGTGACCTAAATCGTTTCGTTTCTGCGTAGCGTAGCCTCCATTTTGTATCCGACGAAATTTGACCTGCGACAGGTTGCTACAATATTTCTTGAGATTTTGGCGATTATTTTCATTACTAGATGGTAAATTTTGATCTGGTTTTGTAAAATAGGTTGCGTAGTTACTTTCGGTGACAAACTCTGTACATACAAATATCGAAATCGCCACCATCTTTTCTAAAATGTGAACTTACTGTTAGGGCCCCCAGCTCAATGGTTCAGCTTGGATCAGCTGTTTCAATGTTTCACCCATGGATGCCTCATTATGATAATGTATTTTCGCCAGTAATGAATTTGGTCTAACCCTCTGTTTAACACAATTATGACATCCTAAAATTGTGACTGTAGTTTTATTCGAAAATCGTGAATTGATTTTGCTGGTTTTCTTTCCTGTGTTCTTGTTTTGTAATCTGGAGTAGGAAACAGGATATGTTTTATGGAGAATGGAATGTTTTAGTATATTTTATGGAGAAAGTTGACGTATAATGTACAAGAAAAACTACAGTTAGTGAAAATGTACTGCAATCTTTTGTTGTTTTGGATTTGTTTTTGGTGTGGTTTCAAAATCATGTAGAATGATTTACATGATGTACACAAATATATAATATTATTTATGATTTGTATAGTGCCATCATGACCATGTGTAAAAAAAAAAACTGAAAATAAATCAAGTCATTTTGTAGTCTGACTATTAGTCAGAATATTCTTGTATATATTAAAGTAAGGTACTTCTATCATGCACGTAGTCTATTGAGTCAGACTATTAAAGTGGGCGAGTGAATGGTTTCAGCACAGCTGATTCATTCCTCAGTGTGTGGATGGATGGAGTTATTTTACCTGGTACTGTTATGTCAGTTTTCAACATTTTAAAATGTTGTAGTTTAGGATAATTCTGATATTACATTACCTCACGTTCTCAGAGTTTTCGTATCCAGCATTGTATAATTAATCAACTGGTTTTACCAATATTTTTGCGGTTGTACCAGGTGGTGGTGGTTTCATTTTTATATTATTATGAAATTTATTTTTATGAAGGATGGTGGGTGGGGGACATCCGTGCTGTTGGTTAATCCTAATATTTCCTTTGCTTCGGATTACTGACTACAGTTAACTTAAATGACGAATGAATTCAAATTGTAATTTGAATTGTCGTTAAGTGTTGATGTATTTTTGACCACTATAAATTATTGCTTTGATGATTTAAGGGCATGCATATGGCATCATTTTGTGCTGGTCAATTTCAATGAGGTAAGGATATTCAAACACAATATTCCCCTGTCAAAGATTGGCCTTTCGATGTGAGCTACGGAATTTGAGTTCAAAATCAAATCGTTCGATTTTTGTGGCAGATGTGCGCGTCGTGTCTTTCATGCAACTTGCGAGAGATCAGTTGAACGGAAAATCACCTATTACATTTGCTTTGACACAATTTGTTGTGGTAATTCACTGGCGCATCATTGATGCAACAGAAAATCATACATTGATATAGTGATCTTACTATAGTTATGGAATTTGTCATTTGGTGAAATTTACATTTTATGAACAAAATAAGTGTAAAAACGAAGGACATCAATTTCATTTGTGATTCACATCGCCTATACAGTTGCATATAATTTTATTTTTCTTGAAGACTGACCTCCTAAGTGGCCAACAAGCAGACTCACATTGCTTTTAGATATTCTATTTTGACCCAAGATTCCTACAAAATCACATTGGCAAGACATGCTGGTCACTAGCATTTTCAGAATCTTATTAGTGCACCTAATCCTGAATTGTCATTCAGCCTTCAACGCAACCCACTTCCTTTTAAAAAATTAAAAAATGCTTGTGAATAACATATTTGTATCTAGTATTTAATCTATCTGTAAGGCAATGACCCTCTTCTCAATGTAGATCATTTTTTTGTTAAGGTTGTGACAGGGAAAAATGAAATAAAAATTAAAGAGATGTTTTGTTCATGGAAGAGAGTTTTGTTCAGTTTTAATCCAAATTGAATTCCTTTTTCCCATTTTACAATGTGGCTTGTGTCTCTACTAATCTAATTATTCTTGAGAAAGATACAAATAATCTCCATTCTAGATGGTTGCTAGTATTTGATCAGACAACAATTGTTGCATATTGACAACTACATCATGATCTATTCTGAAGGACATGCAATATGTAGAACCAATAAAGGTTAACTTGTCAAGGCTGTCTCCACTCAAAGCACTCTTATGTCACTGCAGTTTACTTTAACCACTACTGTTTATTTATCTTGAATTAAAACATTAATAACTGGTCAAGCTGATTCAATTAATTGGGTTTGTTTTGGTTTTTATAACTGCCATTTATTGTCAGCTGATGTAGTAATCTTTGGTAAACAGGTGATAAATCACAGTGTACTGTATGGGAATTTCAACAGTCCAGGGAACTCTTTGTTTACCTGCTCCGTGTTTTTGTGGAGAATGTACAGCACCATGTCTTAACAAATATTTATTAGGTATGTTTTTCTGACATTTCAAATTTATTTTTCAAAACTGCCCTATGGGATGCATTTATGTGTTGTTCCTTCAAATTGAAATATCCTTGTCAATCCACTTCTCTGCTTGATAATGTTATGCAATGTTCTTTGCAAACTAAAATGTTAGTGGCAAATCTGCATATAATTAGTAAGCAAATAACACCGAATAAACGGCAAGGTAAAGACTATGTCTAATTATAGTAAATACGTACTGCGTGCGTGACTCGAACCGGCGCTCGCGTACGGCACCTAATCGCCTAGCTTCACGCCACTACACGTCTTCCCCTCGGCCACCGGGCATCCCCAAAAAAGGATGCTTAATAACCGAGCTTATTACGTGCAGAGAACGTGAAACCCGTCCACGCGATACGCGCCACACAGCATGGCCAGAATGCGGCAAAGGCCTTCAGATCTGGCTGTAGTAGGATGGTGAAAGTAATGGTACAGCATTTTAACAGTGAATAAGTACTGAGAAATAATTTTTAAACTCATAGTTGCTGTCGACATAGGAAGTAAAGTAAGCAAATAACACCGAATAAACGGCAAGGTAAAGACTATGTCTAATTATAGTAAATACGTACTGCGTGCGTGACTCGAACCGGCGCTCGCGTACGGCACCTAATCGCCTAGCTTCACGCCACTACACGTCTTCCCCTCGGCCACCGGGCATCCCCAAAAAAGGATGCTTAATAACCGAGCTTATTACGTGCAGAGAACGTGAAACCCGTCCACGCGATACGCGCCACACAGCATGGCCAGAATGCGGCAAAGGCCTTCAGATCTGGCTGTAGTAGGATGGTGAAAGTAATGGTACAGCATTTTAACAGTGAATAAGTACTGAGAAATAATTTTTAAACTCATAGTTGCTGTCGACATAGGAAGTAAAGTAAGCAAATAACA